TTGCAAATTACCTTAAATCTTCTTTGTTAAGTTTTACAAAAACACTCTAAAGACTTTGACAAAATACAGTAACAAGGACGTTACATTAAGTATTCACTGTTATTAGTCTCTCTAGTTAGTTGGTCTTGTTAAAGAAGTCAAACTGACCTAACAGTATAATAAAAATATTATATTTTATGTATAAATACTATATAACGTATGAATTGAATAGATATATTCACTACTATTTACTATTAATAATATATGCATCAGACTTAGATAATCTCGAATCACTATGCAAATGATGACCACTACTCTTTTTACTATTCTTGCTCTTTTTATATCTTTTGTCTCCTGATATATTCTCAACACCATTATTCTGAACAATTTCACTCAAGTTATTAACTTTATCAACTTGACATCATTATCACTAGTATTATTAAACACATCTGTAGATTCATCACTATATTCAATTTTTGCATGCTTAGAACATGATACAGGTTGAGAATTATTATTAACAGAATTGTTTGAAATATTTGAAAATGAAGTTTCAACTTTACTGATACCCTTCTGACTTTCGTTAATGTTGTGATACATAGAAAGAAGTTTTGATCGAATAGTATTAATAACTTCAGTTAATTTACTAGAACTATCATCAAAAATTCTTTTTTTAAAAAAACTAGTATCAACAAGATTAATATCTTTAGCATAAACATAAAAATCATTATTAATAACTTCTAATTGCTCAACAATAAAAACAAGTGATTCCTGCAGCCGAATTGTATTCTTTAAATATGAAAATTGAGAATTGAAATGTGAAAAAATGACCTTAACTATGAAATTATAATCTTGACCAGTATAATCATTAATTATCATATTAAAATAGTATTCTCATCATTCTCTAACATATTCAGTAATTCTCAGATGACTTTAAGAGAAGAAATTCACAAAAGATATTTATTTGATTTAGAAGCCTTATTCAAGATCATCATATAAATAGAAATCAAAACTGTTATCTAAAATAAAAAAAATAACGTATAAACAGATATGACCTATAAATCTCTTAATAGTCTGATCATTACTTTTAGTCTCTTCTTGCCTTCATAAGTTTCAGGTACAATCTTACTACCAACAGAGTAATAGCTATCTCTTTTAAAAATAGCTTGAGTTTTGAAATCTCTTTCATCAAGATTATTTGAAACAAATAAAACTATTTTGATCATATTATCTTCATGTCTGACTGGATATGCACTAATAGTCTACGAGTAATTAAATTACTATTCTTTTTCATACTCGAACGAACATATTTTGCTTTAACAAAAGTATCTATATAATATAGCATAATATCTTAATACACTTAATATATATATATATATATATTATATATACAAATTTGCAATAGATAAAAAAAGTAAAAATTTAGAAAATATTTCTTCTTTATATAGATTTCTGATTTAAAAAATTAATGACAAAAACTTACAAAATAATTTATACTGCTAGAAAACTAATAACTTTTGGAAGTTAAATGATATCAAAATTACTGTATAAAAATAAAATATTAACATAATTAAAATATCCAAACAATTCTTTTTAGAATTTTCTATAGCCAGATAATATATAATTGATCTCAGAAAATTCCCATACCTCGTATTATCTAAATAATATATGACAGATTATTCTAAATAAGACTGTATAGAACTAATACATATTACCTAACATGTAAACTCAGAAACTTTATCTCTTGATGTATATATTATGAAATTAGATAATAATTAATGACTATAATACACTAGCATTATATAGACAAAATCACCAATTTTACATAATCGATTTTATAACTATCAAACTTAGTAACAAAATCTTAAAACACGAGTTAATCACATGTACAAATAGTATAGTTGTGAGAAAAAATAAAAATAATTATCTAATTAACAATTGAAATCTATTAATAAATTACTTATATTAAAAATATATTTTATAGCTAGTTAAAAACCTGATAATATTACTAAAATTTGACAATTGAACACATTATATAGAATATAACAGATATAATAGATAAGATTCACAACAAAATATTATTTAATTATGATCACTAATTACCTTAAATATATAAAAAAAATATTGTATTAATTATACAAACAATATCGAAACCAATGCAAAAGATCAACTTTAAACTGAAAATTGATAAACTCGCAATACTAATTATCTAAGATTTATAAGTAATGATGATAGTATTTTAAACTTTTATTACAAAAAAAATCATACATTTCATATTCTCTGATATCTTTTATTTCAATAACTTATCTAACCTTCTAATTAAATTCTTTTTTTTTTTTTTTTTTTTTTTTATTTTTAAGATGGCTTACATTACTAGGCGATTTTTATTAATTTGATATATGAGGTCCCACATAGGGTTCCCCTACAGTTTTCAGTTATATGAAGAGTATACAACAAGCTATATATACAACTTTAGTCATTATCTAATTTAAGTAGTCCGCTATGCAGGCATTAGACCACCTATTAGTACTACACTATGCTGCTATATCTGCAACCCGCCTGTGAGTTACCTATTTAAACACTCTGTTCAACTAACCTATTCCCATTACAAACTAATGTCACTATAACACCTAACTTTATACACTAGCTAGCTCGTTATAGATCCATTTCTTGACATCAGCTTAGGTCCTCTCAGGATGCATGTTGCTCATCATATTATGAGTATGCAGAGCTCCAGTTAACCTCGAAGCAAACCTACTAGAGCAGCCTATATCCATTTTACAGACTTATCTAGCTTAGACCCTTGTAGATATTCATACAACTCTAGTTTCTTCTGTGGCTCTCCACTAGTTTTCTGTATCTATCTTCTCGGATGTTTCATGAGACAGATCCTCCCAATCCAGTTAGCTATCAAGCCAGGTTAGTATTACTGATCCTCACTATAGAATAAATTTATGCGCACCTGACTCGATCTGTATCTTTTGATGATAGTTTTCTTTCTGAATCAAGCATTAGCTAGTGTGACTGTTAAAAGCTGTACTATTTACTAACTCAGGGTTTCTACCATGCAGGTTCCCTGCCCATATATCATTTGTATGTGCATATTATCCTGTGATTAACTGCCACCACACTAATATTTTTTCCTATCAAGATTTATTTATATGCGTATATTATCCTATGATTAACTGCCACCACACTACTAATGTCCGATTAACTTGGTGCAACTTAACTTACAGGGTTACAACCCGAGAAACAAACAGAGTTTACTGTAAGTTGAGTACAAAGGTCCGAGTAATTATTCAAATTTGTCGACAGTGGGATTTGAACTCCAGACCTCTTGCATAGTAGTCTGACAATCTAACCACTACACTAAGATCGCCAGACCTCCCTTCTAATTAAATTCTCACTCTTATAACATTTCTATTATTATATAATTTTATACATAGTTATAACATTATATCAGGTTACTCATATCTTACCCTTGTACATTTAGTGTAACAACATATACTAACAATTTGACTAAGATTTTACGTTTAAATTATTAAAAACTACAGGAAATCACAAAACAATCTCATGCTAACAATAAGTATCATAATAAACAAATCCAAATTCAGTAATTATTGCATATAAATTAAATAGTTTTTATTCTTATGATTTTTTAGAACTTACTGATTGAATACATTTAAAAAATATTAATAGAAAAGACTTTCAAATATTCAAATTATAACACTGTACAATTAATATAAAACAATTTCAAAAGGAAATTTCTATTTTTACTTGAGTTAAAGTCACCTGAAATATTTATTTACTTTAGGGTTAGGGTGAGACTAGATATTAATATATGCAATACTATTAATTTTAGTCATGCAAATGTTATTATAGTTTATCAAATGACTTTAATTCGAGTGAAATAGAATTTCCTATTTCAAAATCTAAAGAATTCTGTCAAAAACAAAATCTATAAAAAATCTAAAGTAGTTTATCTTATAATAATATAAAATTATTAAATTAAATTAATATATCAATACTCTGGCTTACAAATTATGAATCAAAAATGTTATTATATTCTGCTGAACTACTGTAATTACTTAATAGATTCGTAATATTTTTTTTTCAAAGTAATACTAACTAGATAACTATGTATTTAAGTCAAAATATTTATCTTATTTAAAATCAAAACATAGTTATTCATATATTTCTATAATATATGTTAACTAATACTACTGCAAGTAAAAGAGATGATACATAAATTAATCTTACTAATTTTATATATAAATAATCACATTGTACTATAGGTAAATTTAAATTAAATAATACTTTAATTTTTAGTTAGACTTTCAATTATCAGTCAGACTTTTGACTCTGAATATTATGAAAATTAATCTTGTTCAAAAATACATTTAAAATACTTTTGGTTTCAATTACACTAAAAGTATATAGTTTTAGCCATGACTCTCAGCAGTTACTGATGATTGTTACCCAATTTCTAGAAAACTACTTACTTAACATTCCATTTACCCAATATCACATAGGATGACAATTTGGCATTTAGTTAACTATAAGTATATTTTATTAGTAAATTTTCACCTCATGTAATGTTAGATAAATAGACTTTAGGGTAAGTAGTTGTTGAGGAATCATACTGTAACTATTACTAATAGTTAACCTATAATGTTGGTCTCAATATGACTAAATAGTTATTATTAATATTTACCTTAAAAACAATAGAAAGAGTATATTTGGACATTATATTAAAAAAAAACTTTGATCAAAAAAAAAATAATTACAATAAATAATCTAACAATCTGTAGTCATTAATATTATTATAATTAAATTGATTAATACTATCAAATTTTGAATTTTATAATAACTTTATTATATAATTTAAAATCCTATTACAAATAATACAAAATTATTTTTTTTTAATTTTTTTTAATTCATCAGAAACAATATTTTTAAAGCAAATACTTAAATCGTAATAACAAATATTAATACTAAGTAAGATAGGTAGCATAAATGCGCTACCTATCACACTAGTATTTTTTTATTTTAGTAGTATTGTGTAATATTAATTCAAAATATATAATTAATTTATTATATTATTGTATTATAACTATTCTTTATATTGTATTTTATAATTTTGAATAAATTATTATAAGTAATACAAAAAAAATATACAATTTAAACTATATTTTAGAAACTATTAATTTTTAAAATTTTATTAGCTTATCAAATATTTTCAGAATAGATACTATTTTATGTAATACTAAAAATTTTAAATAAATAATTTCAGATTAGTATCTATATTAATTTTAAATTTATCTTCCATAAAAAATATTAGTAGATCTTATTTTTTTTTTTTAAAATTTTAACTCGTAGGTTGAGATAAGATCTTGTCTCTATTTTTATTTTTGTAAAATATAGTTAAGAGTTTACATAAAACTACCTAGTAATAAGTTACATACAAGAATTGAAGCTCAGATAATAATAAAATAACTGAACTAAAGTAAATACTAAAATTAAAGCTAAATTAGAATTATCTGTGATCTAAATCTACTAGAATAGTCAAGACTCATCTAGATTTGATTAGAAAGAATATAGTTTGTAAGGAAGCTATATTTGATCCAATATATTGGCTAAGCAGAAAGTTTTTGTATAGTGAGTTTAGTTGGTGAAATTTGGTTATATTGAGAAGGGGACTATATAAGTTATATATTTCCTGAGGTATATAGGGGAGTTGTTAGTTATTTCTGTGATTTTGTTAATAGTTTGAGTATAGTATATAGATATTGCATTATTGCTTCCAGTTTGCAAATTCAGAACAGTAAGGTAACTACAACTGTTCATAAATTTTTAAATTAAGTTTAAGAAATAATTTAATAGTTGTCTATGAAGCTAAGTGAATTGAGTTAGTATATAGTTGAATTGTATGAATGAGTATATATAGTAGGAGTCCTTTAAGTGAAGTAAATAAATTAATTGTATTAGAGGGGTTTGAAGATAGTAGAAGTGAAGGATGGTTTATAATTAAGTTTTTTAATATAAGAAATTGGGATTAAGTAATTTCTAAGTTTGTATTATTAAGAGTTTCAGTTACAGATTGTAAGATTATTTCCTGTAGTATATTAGTGTTATGGTTTGTAATCTAGTGAAGTTCAATATCTGTTTGGTTGCATTTAAAGTATTTGTTATTTAGTATTGTTTTTGAATAGTATTTGTATAGATA